TAAGGGGCCCTGGTAAGATCTTCATGGGAATGTGAGGAAATTGTTGATTCTGATTCTCTTCTCCACACAGATTCACAGGACACTGTGGGTCAAGCGCTCGTGAGTACGAGGCAGGTGTGTACCGGATTCTTCTCACCTACTAGGCATCCCCACAGCACAGAGACGGGCCGTAGTCGTTCTCTAACACACACACACAGCCCGCACAGCTCACCCGCCTTCCTGCCTCCCCTGGAATTAAGAAGCCCTGGCGCTCAGGTCCCGCTCCTCCAGCCCCGCAGCATCTGAGCGCTGCTCTCCGTGGGGTGAGGGAGGCAGAGCTCCTTCCCAGAGAGATTAGCCCTTCCCGGGACACAGCCCTGTGCCCGGGAGCAGTCAGCGCCCCGGGGTGGGCTCGGCTCAGAGGGAGGATGCGCGGCCCACACAGCAGGGTTGGGGCCGGACCGAGCCCCCCTCCAACTTCACCTGGCGAGTCAGGAGGCGCTGGAGGGCAGGTGAGCTGGGAGCGGGGCTGCTCTGCCTGCCCTTGGCCCCGCTTTCTCTCACCCATCAGCCCTCCGCGGATTAACCTGCCAGGTGACTCTACCAAATGATGTGCACTTGGAACTCCAGAAACGTTTGTCCTTCCAACTTCACACTTGAACTAAGTCCCTGCTGGTGCCAGTATAACTCTCTTACAGCCGCTGAGGCTGTGTTTGGATTTAAGACTAAGTCTCCTTGGCACAGAGCCTACAGGTGGATGTGCAGCGATTTGGGTGCAAAGTATGAGGGGTCCATTTTTAAAAATGATGTTTGTTATGTCAGTCTTTTTGCTGATTGCTTCCAGGTTTCTGTCATTGTTCGGCCTTGCGACTAAAAATTTGTAAAATCACTCATCTTTCTCTTAATATATTTATAATTGCATTGTTTTGTATTTAAATCCTTGGTGTACACAGTGATTATCCATTCTGCTTACAAGAAGGATAGTTATCTGACACTTTTTCTTGAATAATCCTTTCCGTACCTACTGTTGTGAAATTCCATTGTTACCCTGCGGACAGTTGTGTGCATGCTCAGCTCGAAACCTAAAGTCGATTCTGCACTCTCCGTGGTGCTGCGGTAACACAATGTCTTGTCTGCTGTATCTTGAAACTCTCCTGAAGACCCAAAAAGCCTGTATGTGCTAATGGCTCAAAAGTTTCTGGTTCTTCCTTTAAATGTAGTCTTTCAAATGCATGTTAGATTCACTGCA